GAATCTTCGTTCCAACGTTCCCACATACAACGTTTTAATATTCCTCGTCCAATTCGCGGGGATTTCCTGATCGGGCAGGCAACAGGATTTCGATCGTGGAGATACAAAATTTCGGGGCGAAAATTATGCGCAGTTGAACGAGCAGGCACGTGCGTGCATCGATGAAAAAAACGTGATACAAGTTCGATGAACCGCTTTTGCTTTCAGAACAAAATTGTCTCGAGATCTCGCGTTATTTTTTCTTTTTTTTTTTTTTTTGTTGTTCGATTCGTCGTTCTCGTGACTAGACACCACCTTTTTGGAATTTTTTCTCGCGTCGGCTTCGTCGTCGGGGATCGGTTTACCGCTGAACCGAGTTAATCGCGTGCAAATAAGCGCTCGATTTTCTGTCCCGAGTATCGAGGAGGAAAAATTCGCCGACGCTCGATTATATATCTGCAACTTTGCGATTTATCGCCACAGCGTTCGCTTTCAGGGCTGCATTGTGCAACCACCCACGCTTAGCTTAGCTTCGCCACCTGTTCGCCACCCACGCAACGTTGATTTGTCTTTTAACTCTGATCGCTTTACTCTATTTATCGATCGCCAATTGTCGCCATGAAAATTGAATCGAAATCGCGATTAATTGGATAATTAGAAATTAATTTAAAGAAGCAAGATTTGTATGCGCGATAAAATTACGATCGAGACAATGGAGATAATTAAAGTAGGCAATATTGTATGATAATAAAAAAGAAAAATATCTCCGGTATCAACAAAGAAATTATAATTATTTCCTCTTCTCATAACAGGCATCTCTCGATGTCTCCTCCTTTGATTCGTATATTCACACGTGTAAATTACAAATTGATACGTATATATATATATACATATATTTCGAAATATTCCTGCCTTGTTCCACATTGTCTGACACATATACATCTTTCATATATCCCCCCCTTTTACCGAGTCGTTATGGATGAATAAATTGAGGTCGTTAAGTATTCATCCATCAAGGAGACACGAAATTGTATACGATGTTTTAACTGTATTTGAATAAAAATTTTTCAAACCAAGTCATGGACGCATATCCCTTTTACCCCGCGTAATCCATTCTAAGGGGGACCGGAAGTTGCCAGAGACCCATTGTCATCCCCTCACCACCGAGAAGAAGATCCAGAGCGCGGAAACTCGATATTTTTTTGGGGGGAAAAGGTCCCCAAAAGGGGATGATCGTCGATCAACAATAAGCTGGAAATCCAAACAGCGGCAGAATGCTCTTCCACAACCCTTCCTTCCCCCTCCGAATCCTTTTTAAGCCAATAGGCAGGCAACAGATCCTCCACGTATAAACGTATTTCCTCCACTTTGCTTTCGACCGTTTATCTGCTGCTTCGTAAAACGCATAAACGGAAAACTTTCTCTCCTCAAGGTGTGTACGCGACAACCACTCGACAGGAGGACTTAACAGCCTCCGAGGTGTCACAAGACTCGAGAGTCAACGTACCCACCATAATCAACGCGATAATTTATTTTCATGATTTTACTGCGGCGCTATTACGAGCCCACGACGTTTTGTCCACCGTGACGACCTTCCTCGGTTAAAATTGCCTTTTTTTTTTTTTTT